TTCTCTTTGCTTTTTAACGACTGTTTTTAAATGCCATTTTATAACGTGTTTCCGCAGCACTATTTCTTAATGCTCTTAATGTCTTTTATTTTTGTAAAGCACTTTGAAATGCCTTGTGTTGAAAGGTGTTAATAAAACTGCCTTCCCGTGCCAAATAGAGGGGAACTGAATTTTCCCTAGGATATTAAAATAAAATGTGTTATTTTTCTTAAATAAATGGAAAAACTTAGTAAAAGGAGGTATCATATCCACAGCTGCTGTAGCTACAATGACATAACATCCAGGCTTGGGGAGTAACGGATTACATCAAACGGGATTACAGAATACAAAAAAAGGTAACAGTATTCCCTTACATTTAACCCGTTAAGCCCCGAGCCTGTTTTTCAGATCTCAGGCTCGAAAATGACATGCCCAGAACAAATGACTATAACTTCACTTCTAAAAGGGGTAAATGAATAATCTTTTTTCTCAAAGTAATGATAAACCTGTGAGTTGGATGTAGAAAAGTCAGAATCAATATAGATTTTTTTTTATTTTAAAGTAAATTCCGATTGAACATAGTAAAAAATGTAAATCATAGTGTCTGTCCAAAAAAAAAAAACATTACTTATAGTGAAAACCACCCTTGAATGATGGGATAGTACACTAAAAGCGTTAGGAATCCAAACTATAACATATAATAAGTACCCTGTATCAAGATTGATGCAAAACAAGTGACATTTGACCTTTGGGTTAAAAAACCCACTTCTGGGGTCATTTGGGTGGATTTTCAATATACAGTAAATGGCCCCCCTCGGTCGATTTTGATGATTGACATCTCTTTTTAACCGTTAGAGCCAATAGAATCGAGGGGAAGTTCCTAAAATCCATCTAAACATTACCCATTGGTGAATGAGTGATGCGTAGCCAGAATGCCCAAAACCGGAAGCTGTCATACACTCTGGTAGCTATCATAGCAGCTATATATGAAAACTCCGTTATTGACATAAATATGAAGATGGATTATCAGTAATCATTTCAGACACATTGGATTAACCTTCAGCTTTATCGTTTTAATGCCATTGAACACAACTTTTGATCAGAAACAGCAAAAGGTAAGACATTTCTCCCGTGTTTGCTCCGTAAAGCTACGTTGTGTGATGTCTGGGTTTGCTTCCCCTGTCGCGAGTTCTGATCGCACAGTGATGATACTTATCTTTCTGGTTTGTGCAGATCCGATAAGTAATAAGGGTATTTTACCGTGAGTTCTGTGCTAAGTGCGTTAGCATTTTTCCGCTCAGGGCTAATTCAGAGGCTTGATATGACCCTTGTGTTTCATTTAGCTAAAAATTGTTAATACTGTCTGATAGCTGAGTTTCTTCCCGTTAAGTGGGTATGACACATTCATAGTTTGTTAAATGTTAAGAAGCCCTCAGACGCTGTTTCTTGCAAGATGTTGCGTTTTGCCCCCCGGTACCGGGGGCATGGGGCTCAACTGGTTACGTAATCAGATTGTTGTTACATTTCTAACAAATGGGGCTAAAAGCCGGATTGTAATGTTACATGAATTTTAAAATAAAGAACCCATGTGTTCTCAAAATAGTGTGCATACTAATTAAACTAAATTGGAGCATTTTGTGTTTGCTTAGATTTCATTTATATATTTTTTCCTGCACTATACGTCGTGCACTTTTTTATTGCTCTATATTACTTCCTGGATTTGCTTAGTGAAACTAAGGTTTTCCTTTTAAAAACCACTGAGCAGGTGACACATTTTGATAGAGAATATCTTGGGTTCCTTAAACTTAAATTGGTCTTTTTTTTTTTGCATTTCATTTGATATTGATGAGATTAATCAGGTAACATTATTTTTTCATTAGGTTCCTGATTACATATTTTGTATTGTAATTGCAACTGAATACATTTTTTAAGTAACCATCCGAACCTGATAACATCCCAGTGGACTGTGTCGAGGGTTTCTATGTTCCCACCGTAACAGAGATGGGATTAGAATTAGAGGAGAAGTGAACATGAATAAACAGAGAGCTAAAGAGAGACAATCAGGCAGAAGGAAAGAGGAAGTTAACAACAAACGTGACAGTTAGAGAGGAAGAGTGCTCCAGGCTTTATGGATGATCTGCAGTCCCTCATCAAAGTTTCATTACGACTAAATCAAATATTCAACATCTGCCATTGAGACAGAGAGAGGAGACGGATTCGCAGCTATAAACATCGGGAAACAGCTATCAAGAGAAGAAGGGAGATAGTCAGAGTAAAGCAGAGCGCATGAGAGGATGACAGAAAGAGAGGACATGATGAGATAAGAGATGACAATAGAAAAAAGCAAAGTGCAAGAATCACTTTAATAAAGGCAGAGAGAGGAGCAGTAGCCTGAGACAAATGGGTGGAAAAGAATCAAATTCAAAGCAAGAAGATCTGGACTAAAGAAAAGATAAATATAGCAGCAGCCAATTATATTTCCCCCTCTCTCCACCTTATCTGCAGAACAAACTGTGTGAGGCAGCGTGCGAGGGGATGTGTGTGTTCAGACGATGCAGCAGCTGTTTTTGTTTCTCCCGGCAACCGCCTTCTCCTCCTTCTCTACCCTGCCTTTACTTCATCCAACACACACTATAGAGACGCTATTATTGTACAATTTCCCTCACTGCTCTTAGTCCCTATAATTACATGTATGCACTGCAGTGTTATCATCACACAACTGAATGCCAGTAATGAGGAAACGTCAGAAACCCCAGAAAACTAGAGCTGGAGTCCTGACATCTTTAGGACTGTTCATACGTGCAAATGAGATGAATACTAACTGAGCTAGCTATTATTTCATAACCCTATGCTTTAAGTGAAAGTGTAGAACAACAGCTCTGAGCTGTCTATCCATCTGTTCATGTTATTTTTGTATTTATCAGGTTTGTTTCTTCTTTATAGCACTCATTAAAGTGTAAATTGGCAATGAAAAACGTATTTGTCTTTATGAACATATATCTGCCAATACTGCAACTCTGTGGGCAATATTTTGATAAAAGAAGCATTCTGGTTTTTGTTTGTACATCAAGTATTATTGACCATTTAAGGTTGAAGAGACTTTTGTCTGTTGTCTGTGTGGAGAGCAGTAAGATGCATCTGACAACTATGTACGTTTTCATTAGCTAGAAATTAGCTTTTTAATTGGCTATTTATGAAACATCCTGACGTAGACATTGACTCGAAGCTCCAGCTATGATCTTGAGATCTTATTTGCTAATTTGACTGTAAATAATGGACGCCAAACGAAGAGAACCTCTTGGACCGAATATCCACAATCTACCCCAGGACACTAAAAAGATTGTTCGTTGCTACTGGAGGCTTGACGTCCTCCGCCAATAGCCAATTGGTTCCTGGATTGCAAACTTATTGGTGCATGTCCATTTCTGTTTTAGTATCATGCTAGAATTTCTAATTTTCAAGATTTCACAGTTTTCTCATAACACTTCACTTCTTCATGATAAAATACCAAGGGCTAGGTCTGGTTCCTTTCGCTTCAAACTATGACGCGAAGGGTACGCATAGCAAAACTTCTGGAAGTGCCAGGGAAAGCATATTGGTTTCGGCTCGAGGCATAAAATAAATGTACTGTATGTGTTCAAAGGAAACAGTTTCTACTATTGAAATGCTCATAGTCTGTTTTCAAAATAAACTTTATGAGTGGGTTTATGTAGTTTTACTTACACTATGAAACTACTTGGTTTGGAAAGATTGTAGTGATGGTTAAAATATGTGAGTCAGTTTAGTACGTAGGTTACCTGACAAAAGAAAGGTAATAGTATAAGTGAAGTTCACTTTGTTTTAACCTGTTAAGCCCTGAGCCTGTTTTTCAGGTCTCAGGCTCGAAAATGACATTCCCAGAACAAATGACTATATCTTCACTTCTAAAAGGGGTAAATTAATAATCTTTTTTCTCAAAGCAATGATAAACCTGTGAGTTGGATGTAGAAAAGTCAGAATCAATTTTATTTTAAAGTAAATTCAGATTGAACATAGTAAAAAATGTAAATTATAGTGTCCGTCCAAAGAAAAAACATTACTTATGTGAAACCACCCTTGAATGATGGGATAGTAGACTAAAACCTTTAGGAATCCAAACTATAACATCTAATAAGTACCCTGTATCAAGATTGATGCAAAACAAGTGACATTTGACCTTTTTAGAGAGATTTAGAAGAAAAAAAAACAATTTCTTGGGTCATTTGGGTGCATTTTCCATATCTCTGGAACCCATCGGTCGATGTTGATGATTGACACCTCTTTTTAACCGTTAGAGCCAATAGAATCGAGAGGTACGTTCCTAAAATCCATCTAAACATTACCCATTGGTGAATGAGTGATGCGTAGCCAGAATGCCCAAAACCGGAAGCCGTCATACACTCTCGTAGCTATCATAGCAGCTATGAAAACTCCGTTATTGACATAAATATGATGATGAATTATCAGTAATCATTTCAAAGTGACAGACACATTGGATTAACCTATGGATTAACCTTCAGCAGCGTTTTTATCGTTTTAATGCCATTGAACATAACTTTTGATCAGAAAAACAGCAAAGGTAAGACATATTTGCCGTTTTGGCTCAGTAAAGCTACGTTGTGTGATGTCTGGTTTGCCTCAGCTGCCGCGAGTTTTGGTCGCACAGTGATGATACTTATACCTCTAGAATATGTGGAATCTCAGCTATATAGCTGATATCTTGTTTGTGCAGATCCGATAAGTAATAAAGTATTTATACCGTGGGTTCTGTGCTAAGTGCGTTAGCATTTTTTCGCTCAGGGCTCATTTAGACGCTTCTTGTGAAACTTGTGTTTTGTTTCGGTAAAAATGGTTCGTATCGTCAGTTAGCTGAGTTTCTTCCCGTTAAGTGGGTATGACACATTAATAGGTTGTTAAATGTTAAGAAGCCCTGAGACACAGTTTCATGAAAAAAAACTGACACAAACAGCAATCTCCTGGGTGACATGCACACCGTTACTCACCAGTGCGGGTGTTGATGGTGAAGAAGTTCTGCGGGTTGCCACTGACGATGCGATAGTTGAGCCTGTCAGCTGCAGCAGGGGGGGTTGCGTCGGGGTCCTGGGCCTGTATCTGGATCACAGAAACATCCCGTGGAGAGTTCTCGGGCACTGAAGGCCGGTATAGGGGCTCTGAGGTCAGCGGCGCGTTATCGTTAACATCTTCCACCTGGACAAAAACCTCGATGGTGGCGAACTGAGGCACAACGCCGTGGTCGCTGGCATACACTGTCAGCCAATAGGAGTCCTTGGTCTCGCGGTCCAACATGTCGGTGGTGTAGATCACCCCTGGTTGAAAAAAGACAAAAAGAGAAAATTAGTGTTCAGATTATTTAAGTCTTTTAAATGTTTCATTATCCAGATACGGCTGAGAGACATTGGAGAACTGGCTGTAGAACACACCAGGTGAAAGACAACATTGCTAAGCAAAGTCATGTTTAGACTGTTTTTCACTGCAGCATTACAGTAGCTATTCCTTTTTGTTGAATGGTATATTCTGTTTGCTCTAAAAAATCCCAGAGAACACCCTGTCAACTGTTTCTATAGGGACTTTTTATTTGATACAAAGTAGTTCCTACGTGAATAACCAGAGGATTCTTTTGGGAATTGGTTGCCTTGTAATTATCTTTTCATTTCATTGTATCATCTGCTTGACTTTTTCCCATTTCTGCACCCATTGCATTTATTGATTGACACTGTAATAGCTGAATTGTTAAACCAATAAAAAGACTTCAACAAAAGAAGAACAGAAAAAATCAATTGGTTGCCTGCCATGTGTGAAACATTATGTGAAAAAACGTGTTCTAAGGAAATGATGTTGTACATTCTAAATGCTTTAGTATGTTGTAAGTTGTAACGCCTTGATTTGTCTACTGTACAACTAAAGGAGTTGAACCGCTCCTCCTTAGCGTCGAAAGGAGCCAGTTGAGGTGGTTCGGGCACCGAGTAAGGATGCCACCTGGGCGCCTCCCTATGGAGGTGTTCCAGGCACGTCCAGCTGGGAAGAGACCGAGGGGTAGACCTAGGACCAGGTGGAGGGATTATATCTCTTGGCTGGCCTGGGAGCGCCTTGGGATCCCCCAGTCAGAGCTGGTTGATGAGGCCAGGGAAAGGAACGTTTGGGGCTCTCTGCTGGAACTGATACCTCCGTGACCCGACCACGGATAAGCGGGAGAAGATGGATGGATGGATGGACAACTAAAGGAGCTGTAGTTGCAGTGAAGTAACTAAGGGACAAGTTGTGAGTATCACCCTGCTGTCATACTTAATCGTCTCTCTGCTGCTATTGATAATAGTTTATAACCTGTTGCTTTGCATCCTTTATTGCCTAGCCAAAGAGTCTAATTAATGTTTCCCACTTGTAACCGTTACTTATTTTTGTGTGGATCACTTAACCGTGAATAATCATAAATACCTAACAATTATTCTGCACAGCAGGAGGTCTCATTTTGAAATCCCTTTATCTGTTTTTACTCTGAAGTTACAGATCATTTCTAACACACATACTCAAACTGACAATGTGTGGAGATCTGATGAGGTGGCTAAATGATGAAGATGTAAATGTGGTGTTGAGAGATAGCGAGCAGCCCACCACACATTCTGATAAAGCACTCTATTACCTTTACTAAAAAAACAGACTGGGTGAGTGAAGTCCCAGCCAGACCACAGCCTGTAAAACTGTGTGACTAAAAGCTATCTGTTATAATATTAACACGTGATGTAATAATGTGATGCCTCACCAGCGGAAAGTCTAGTCAAAACTGACTGCAACCTCCCACATCATATGTGTGTCTGCTCTCCTATGGCTTGTCTGGGTCAATGTGGAGTGTGGCAAGAAGTGTTTGCATGTATGTGTCTGGTTTGTGTGTGTCGAGTTTGTTTACTTGTGTGTGTGTGTGTGTGTGTGTGTGTGTGTGTGTGTGTGTGTGTGTGTGTGTGTGTGTGTGTGTGTGTGTGTGGGGGGGGGGGTCTGTTTGACTGTGTTGAGTGCTCTTGATTAGCCAACTCCGACGGAAGAATGTACTTGTTGTATTGTCTAACCCTAACCCTAGGTTCATCATAGAGGGTTTTCCATGCACATTCTCATTGGCTTTCACATGAGTGCTGCTGACACACACACACACACACACACACACACACACACACACACACACACACACACACACACACACACACACACACACACACACACACACACACACACACACACACACACACACACACACACACACACACACACACACACACACACACACACACACACACACACACACACACACACACACACACACACACACACTGCCTCTACCCACCTTGGGACCCGTTATCGTTACTACCTACATGGGTGTGTTTGTGTGTGTGTGTGTGTGGGTGTCTGTGTGTGTGTGGGTGTCTGTGTGTGTGTATAACCAATATCTATGGGAGTGATTACCACTGATAACAGCCATCCAATCTGCTGATAACATTCAAAGTGGGTGGTAGAGGCAGGCCGTCAGGATACACACTATATTTCTCTACCTCTTAGTGTATGTTCTGATACACATGAGCACACACACACGTAAACACAAACACACGAACCGTGCCTCATTGTTCCTGTCCTGTGGGACATTTGAATGTTCAAGGTTAGCTGTAATTAATTCAGAGTTGTCCTGTGCTGTGCTCTCTCTGCCTCTGCGTTCATTCATCTCTGCCTTCTTCTGGACCCTCTGCTGCACTACATTAATAGCTCTGCACCATGCTACCACATTGCTTCTAATAGCCCAACTCCTGCTTACAAGCCTGCTTTCCAATTAAGAGTGTGGAATTAACTACAAATGTCACAGGAGTGCTAGGCATAAAACACATTGGAGAGCTGGGAGTGACAGAGGGTGCCTCACCGACCAATCGGCTGCCTCGCAGCTCAGAGCAGAAACAAAGCCGAGCTGCTGCATTGCTGCAGCAAAACCACTGAAAGCTGTGTGACACAGAATGGAAATATGGTGAGTGTGTTAGAGTCTTTGAGCTACGAGCCAAGTGATTCATGTCCACAGACTCGACTGCACTGCTTTCAAGTTAATAATGGACTTCATGTTCTAAATCTGTTATGGACACACCACAACAAATATCATGTCTGATGCCAATATAAATAGTGCCTTGGATCTGTTACCTGAACACGCAGGACATTAGAAAAACAAACACAGGCCGACTTCTACACTGTCTCTAATTTACAGTATATTAAAATATAATTTATTGACAAGGATCCAAGACAATGTTACGGTTTAAATGAACTTGCCAAGAAAACAGACAGCGAAACAGTGAAGTTTAAAGTGAATTTCTGAGAAAATGACATTTGTAATACCTGAATTCTTGTTTCTAGCTGCAGTGAGGCAGGAGCTCTGGAGCCTGACTGGCCTGAGGGCTGCTGGGTATCTGGAGAAGTGCATTTCAACGAGCCAGACAAAGTGAGTCTAGGGCTTAATTGGGAATTAGGGGAAGATTAATTAAGGCAGTGATTAGCATTTGCACTAATCCAAGGGAGTGGAGGCCTCTTGTAATTCAATAGACAGGCATTCACTGTCTTTTATTTCTTACCTACTGCACGGCTAAAGTTGGAGGCAAATACTGAGTGGTTTGAGTTTGTGTGTGTGTGAGCATAAGAGTAGTTTCTGTAATCGGACTTTAATGAACTTCGAATAAGTTCCTAACCGTATCTGCTGTACTTTGCTTCACTAATTCTTTAAAACTGTGCATGTGTTAATGTACACGTGAAGTGATGAGTGTACCTGTTCGGAGATGCCATTCTATCTGTGTTAGTTCAGACAATAAAATGGTCTGTGTTACTGTTTCAATTGGACCTATAATGGGCTTTTTAAGGCAAAAAACACTCCTGTCGATGTCAATGTTCAATCACCCTCTACAGCAGTGGTTCTCAAACCTTTTCTGTCATTCCCCACTTTGAACAGGTGGGCCTTTTCAAGCCCCACCTGTTCTCATCGCTCCAATAAAATGGTAAGCCAAGCTTAAAATTGTCAAATGTATCGTTCTATAACAGGGGTCTCCAACCTTTGTTAGGATGAGAGCTTTCAAAAAATAAAACAAGTTGTGAGCTACTTTTACTCTACTTTTGCTTATTCTGTCTGGTTTATAACTTACATAAAATATATACTGTATATACAGTTGCAATTATGCAGACGAGGTCACATAGAGAACGGATCATAAAATACCTTAACACTGATGCCTATTAATTTGCTAAGGCGAAGTGAAGTGGAAAACATACCCATTATTTTTCTCATAGGCTTTCCAATGCATATAATGGGACAATGACCTAGCATTGAAGGCGTCTTCCTTTAAAGGGCCACATGACGGACGGTGCGTCACCAATAGCAAAAGTGCAGGAGAGGTTGAATAATCTGATCAAATCAGACAGCTACTGTCGGGAAGTATATAAATGCTCTAAACACAGTGATGATATATTGTGGGAGAGAGGAGGTCTAGGATGCCTAGCCTAACCTAAAGTTCTCCTGCAGTATCTAGGCATGGAAGCCCCCGAAGATGCTCATATTCAAGCAAAGATGCATCAGTTATTTGACACATAAAATAACATATTATTATTTCAAACATTATGGCAAATGTTCAAGCGCTAGGGATAGGGTTAGGGTTATTTACTGGAATTCCAGAGCTATGTAGAATTACTCTGTTCATATTTGAGATATCTTCCCCTTTCCCAAGGTGTTCAGCCCTAGCTGACCCAACAGTGTGCCTGGCTCATCAACTCTCCTTGGTTTTTTGTCTTTATATAAACTGAGCTATCAGCAGAGTTGAGAAATGACCATAGAGTTTATTTTGCTTACTTTACTCTGCTGACCAAGTCAAACTAAGCCTTTTCTTCTGAAAAAAAACTGTGAAAAGGTCACATGCATGGGTTTGGTTTGTAAACAGAGTATTCAACTGCTTCAGCCGAAAGGACAGGAAACTGCAATGCTGACAAACCTTCAAACATTGAGTCAAACAATGCCCCCAAAAGTCAAGGGCTTGGCTGATCCCACTGCAAACACACCTACATATGAACACCTGGAAAGGACAACGGAGGAAGAATATAGCCATGGAAACGTTTACAGACACAGAGAAAGTCAGCTTCAAACACAAGGTGTGGTTTAGAAAGTAATAGCTTTCACCCACAGAGCTGGTTCCCACTGCGACAAAACACCATGAGGAACCAAAACTACTGAAATTCCAAAGCCATGCTAGCAGCCCTGTGAGGCCGTACAAAGAAAATCTGTTTGTAATTTGGTGATATGTACACGATTTTC